GTTGATTCCTGTACTGCTGGCTATTTTGATTAAGTGGCCTTTGTTTTTCTCGTTGTTTATTCTGGGGTTTGCTGCATTTGCGTGGAATCCTACTGACTTTCTCAACTCTCCTGAATGTGGTACAGGGGCCCACCCCGTGAAGCATCAGAATTGTTTGTCTACTTCCAAGGTGCACAGAATCAAGGAGCTCTTACACAGAAAGTTTTAGGGAGGAAAAGCAGCTGCATACACACAAGTGGGAAGGTATCTCTGGGTAGAATAGGTGAGGGAGCAGTTTAAGAATATTAAATAGAAGAACAGTAACTGAGGTTTTTTGGTTTCTTTTTAAAAAATTGCTTTAACAAGTTTGTCTGTAGTCTAATCCACAGGAAACTGCAAAGTAAACTGGGGTTTTCTGTTCATCAATGCAAAATGTGCCTCTCCACAATAATGCAAAAGTCAGTCTCTCTCTCTGTTTGCAATGGAAGAAGTTTAACTGATTTAATGTGCTTCTTGCTCTTGTGTGTAATCATCCACACAGCAGTCCTTGCTGGCCTTTCCCAAGCACCATACAGAACTATCCCTATTTGAAAGCAAAACGGGGATTGCATTGAGCAGTGGAACGTGCTGAACTTCCTTGGTTTGAGAGAGACACTGGAGAGAAGAGTCCAGGTTCCAGGTATTTTAAATACAACTTTAAACTAACGCAGCTACTCTCTCAGATCAGCACCACTTCCTACCTTTCCCTCCACTTAGATGGGAATTTAAAAGTAAACCCAGCAATATATGATCCAGTTGATGTGCTTGCAGGTGGAACACGGGGTTTTTGAAATTTGAGGATTGAGATTTCCCTTGTGGAAGAACTTGGTGTGGGTGCAAGAGCTTGGCTCTCGGATTACAGCTCTTCTGCCGGTTTGCTAAATGCAATCAAGTACTCTGGACTCCCCTGAAGAAGACTGTGGTAGAAGAGCTATGAAGGTGTATGCTGGAACTGGTCATTTTAGGTCATCTGTGTGTTGCTTGACTACATGGACAATATAACAGTGATTTTTATAGGTTGCTTTCCATGTGTCAGTCACAAATAACTCTTAATTTGCCATTTGGAGAAAAACTGTTAATAGATACATTTCCAGATCAGATTAAGAGCCTAATTTTCCATCTTGCATTAACCGGGTTACTGTGTTCACATGCCAGAAAGATGTTGCTCTTTGAAAAAGCATGTTGGTGTATGTGGCAGTGGCCCATGCACTTTTTAAATACCTAGATCTGTACATTCTCACCTGAGTATCGTTAACCATGCTGTAGTCTGACAAATGGATCTTTTACTACTGCCCTGTTATATAGATAATTGTAATTAACTGCAGTTTGTTTTTTCCACCACTTGAAGTTGCGTGATCTGAAAATTGGTGAACAAAAAGTATTTGTGCATCTTACTATGGGTATCGCTGAATAAAATGTATTTGTATAGTGTGTTGGCTTGGCTGATGGCTTCCTTTATTTGCTAATCATCCCACTGCAAGTAAATCCAGGGCAGCTTGAGAACAAGTGGGCTTGGGTTTCTCCCTGTAACAGTCCACCCTCTGTGTTGACATGATGGATTCAAAGGAAATAAAGTGAACTGTTGTTTTTCCTTCACCAGCATATGGACTGATAGCCCAAGGGCAGGTTCTCAGCTTATTCCTGTTTTTCATAGCTTAAACATTGGTCCTGTTCTCTGTACAGCTGCAGTAACACTCCTTGCTTCCATAGGAAATGCATCTAATGGCAGAGCTGGGACTGTTAACACTCTTCAACACATCTCCTTCCTGTTCTCTTATTCTGGTACCTCACTTCTTTTGAGACAAGAGTTTATTTTTCTAAGGAGGAAATACCTCTTGGAAGCATTGCACGGTACAGATATACCCTATAGGCACAATTAGGGTTTTGAGAAGACCTTGCATATCAAAACTGCGTATGTAGCACCAGATATTCTGCCATGTTTTCATTGTAGAGGAGATTGAGGCCTCTGTCTTCCCTGCCTAGAACTGGGAAGGTTATTTCTTGGAGAAGAGGAAGGTCTTTAAGAGATCTAAGCTTTATGTTGGAGGTTAAAATTACATGCCTAAAAGCAGCTTCTGTATCCCCGTCTCCTTTATGCTTGGCCTCACCCTGAGGTGCTTGTTCCCATACTCATGGACAAACTGCAGCTTTGTGTGCAAGTTATGGGAGACCATGTCTCCACCTGCACCACCTCTGCTCCCTTTAGTACTGCGGTTAGGCGTTGCTGATCCTTGTGGATGCCAAAAGAGGGAAGAGTCTAAAAGGCATGTGAATACTGTACTGTCATCCTGCTGAGCCTTACACCAGAACGGTTTGAGAGCTGAGAGATTAAAAAAATAAATAAATACCCCTCTCCCTGGAGATGTGCAGGAGATGAGGGGTTTGATGAGTGGTGGGATGCTAGGAGGCACCAGTACCACTACAGCCTGGGGCTCCTGGCTTGTCTCCTGTCACAGCCACAGATTTGGATGAGCTTTGTGCCAGCCCCTCAGTGCGGAAGCTGGAGCTGAACTGCTCGTGAGTTGTGGTTTGTTCCTAGATGGTCACGCTTTCTGCTACTTCTCCTTCATAGAGAGTGCATCCCCTGCCAGGCTGATGCTTCTACCCCTAAGCCTGACAAGGAAGTGAGAGGAGGGTGAAGGGGCAGTTACTTTAAGCTATAGAAGGGGCTTGGGCAATGAGGGTTACCAAATCTCCAGCTGCATTGGATGCTCTGTCTCGTGCAGCATCCAGGTGCTGTGGGACCTGTCAGCTGATATGCAGGACCAAAAAGGATTGGGAATGGCTGAAGACAACCAGTACTCACTGAGCTCCTCCTAGGTGTGTGTCCAGCTTAAATCTTGGCAATAAAGAGTCCAAATCCTCCCCCAGCAACTAATTTGTCCCATCAACTGTCCTGCAGGTCCCGTTCTAGTTCGCTGTGCAGATGAAGCAGTTTGTTCCCTTCTGTGGGACAGCTCATCTTCTTGTTGAAAGGAATTGTTAACCGTTTCATGGCCACAGTCTTCACTCCTTACACTGAGCAGCCCAGGTTCCCTCTGTGCTTTCTCACTGGCTGTGCTTGGCATGTGCCTGTGTGGCACATTTCTGTCTGTGGCTCATTTCTGTCTGTGGAACCAAGGTGAGGTACGTTGCACTCCTTGGCCTGGAGCTGGCAGCAGGTCTACGCTGCTGCCAACCCTGCTTTTACTGTACGCTGCAAAGACAGTGGCAGTGCGCATTATCCCTTTCAACACTCAATCTGCTGCCTGCCTCCAACTGGCAGCCCAGTTGCTGCAGGTTTGCTTGGCTGTCATCACTTCCCTTCTTGGGTGTATTTCGTTTCTGATCTTTGTGACTTGGGATCTCGGCTGTTGCCAGTGGGTGGCGCCGCTGCTGCAGGACAAGGAAGCCAAACCAAGAGCGCACTGGAATAGTTTCATGCTGGTTCTGTCAGTTCTTCCGAGCCATAGCTGTACTCACCCTGTATGCTTCTGAACGGAGGATCAGGATAGTCTTTTTCAAGACAAAGTGCTTTCAAGGTCCAGTAAATGCATTAACAAATTAAGAGTTGCCTGGAACACAGTGCTTGAACCGTTCTTTGGGCAGGAGCAGCCCATTCTGTCGGATAGAAAGTGAGCAAGCTCACAGTGTATTAGAAAACAAGAACTTCTGTGCTTTGTCTCCCAACTTCCTCAGTCCTCCCCAAGCCTCCTCATCTGGAAGAACAAATGTCAGGATGGCTTCAGCCCCATGCAA